TTGACAAGCACTGTGGCAATTGGACAATTAAAACAGACATTCGGATGGCGGGGGAAGAAGAACAAACTGGGGAGGAGGGTAGAGAGAATGGTGCAGCAAGGAAGGAATGAAAACCCAAAATCCCCGTAAATGTTCATTAAAACTAATAAAATTTAAAAAAAGAAAAAAATTTTAATTAAACTATTGAAAACACAGTAAAACAGAATGGCTTTCCTTTCGTATCAACTAATCCGTATCTTATAACTAAGAAATGACATCAAAAATGTTATCTATTCACACAAACTACTTTATGATCAAGTAGAAACTACACTGCTATGATTTAAAATAGTTCATCTTCTAATGAAAAAGCAAAGACTATAGATTTCACACCAAGTCTAATTCACCTATCATGTAGAAAAATAATATGCACAAGAATAAATAACTCCAAATCAATGCAAAATAAAGGCTATAGTAAAAAATAAATAAATAAAACTCACAGATAAACTTAAGCCATCTATCAAATACTGCTTCACATTTACATTAACAGCTGATTATCTTATGACAGCAAAAAACCTATAAGTTCTTGGGAGAACAGCAGGCCATATATATACCTATATATATATATATATATATGCAGTTGGTGCCATGATTCATAGCTGATCTTCCAGCCGTTTTTACAAGGCTTCAGATCACACAGGAGACTGTTTATCTTTCTCTTGCAGAGTGGCTGGTGGAGGGGAATCCCTTGCCTTTGGGTTGGTAGCTCAATTCCTGAGCACTAAGCCACTAGCGTTCCCAGTAACTAGGTATGGTGTTGTTGTTGTTGCTGTTGTTGTTTGTCATCAAGTCAAAACCGACCCATAGCTGACTCTCCAGCAAGTTTTCAGAGATGATAAACTACATGAGAGGAGATTGTCCATCCTTCTCCCTCAGAGCAGTTGGTGGATTCAAGCACTGTATCTAATGTATCTTTGGGATTGCAGTACAGCTCCTAACCACTAGGCCACCAGAAATCCTATATATACAGATATATTCTTTATTACTAGGTGGAAAACAAGAGCTTAAAAAAATATTTGAAAGAGTAGGAATGCAATAAAGAGAAGAACAAAAGAAAAGTGAGCCTACCTCCAGTTCTAAAAGGAGAATAACAGAATGGATACTAAAGAGAAAAGCAGTGTTTTTTCGAAAGGCTGATTAATAGTTCTCCTTTAATCTTATTTGAAAAAAACTGGCACTACCAAAATTGATATCAGAAAACATGGAGTATAATATGAGGCACTAAAGCACAGAAAACTCAGATGTCAATCTCTGGTAAAAGGTTGCAGACCCAAGAAACAGTTAAGTATTACATTTAGGGCTGCCTGATTAAATACATGAAAACCTGTTCCTATCAAGTTGATTCCAATTCATCGTGGCCCAATGTGTGCAAAGCAGAACTATTACAGAGGGCTTCCAAAGCTGTGAGCTGTAGAAAACAGATCACAGCAGCGCGAGGGCGACGCAGCGCGAGGGCGACGCAGCGCGAGGGCGACGCAGCGCGAGGGCGACGCAGCGCGAGGGCGA